GAATAAAAGTAACCTGGTTATATTTCTTGATCGCCTCCGCATTTGCAATAAGTTCAAGTGGCCAAGAGACCTGAAAATAAAATACATATAAACGCTCAGAGTGGTTGCAAGGAGCTAAATGACGAAAGAAGCTTTATTAGCCATCACTAGACCTTATACGTAAATTTTAGCTGATCAAGTCCATCCATTCCAAAGCTGTGAGCACGGCTTTTACGAGGAGTCGAGGGAAGTGAAGCCATATTAGGTGGTTGCTCATTGCCATTCAAGTCATGATTTTTGGTGAGGGATACAATCAATGAATCAGGAACACTTAGTAGCACACCATCAGCAGAGTTCCTTATAGATTCCTGCAGTTAATAAGAATTGACATTGCCATGTTATAAATAGGAAGAAAATCCAGGTATCCCACAGTCATCATGTTTAACTCAAAATAGGAAGAAAATGCTAGATTGAATAAAAGTAACTGAACCTGCAATATCGTGTTTAACTCAAAATCATCATCCCATGTTTCTCCCTTATCCAGCTTATTGAAAATTACAGTCAAGAAGTGCTGTAGCAGATCACCTAAAGATGGCAAAGTACCAGCAAACATGTTAAAAGTAATTCTGACATACCTACTGATAGACCAGGATATTACAGGTTGAACATACAAGACCCGCAAACATGTTAAAGTAATTTTGACATACCTGACCCTAGCAAGTAAATGGCGCGCAGCACTGCCAGTTCATCCATCAATTTCCAACCATTCATCAATTTTGACAATATGTGCCTACCAATACAATCCACCTACAATAGAAATATAAAAGAAGACACCATGTTAACCACAACCAAGAAACTGAGATCTGTACATGGGTTCAAGCTATCACCTGCTTCTGGATGTACACCGTAAGACATTCCTGCACTAAAACCACCGGAAGTGGAGTACTTCTTGGTTCAAACTGCTGAACCCAGATAAGAACTCTTGATGGAAGGGTGCTATTTTTCTGGAAAGGTAAGAGCTCTGACATATGGAGCTCATCCTGTTGGCAAGGAATTACATTAAAACTAGACCTAAAGAATGCTATAACAAATGCTCTTAGACTATCAATCAGAAATACCTGAAAAGAAGGAAGAAGAGTAGGAAAAGGAAACAACACTTGTAACATATGTGAGTCGTCTTGTGAACGAAGATATTCAGATTCACCAAACCGGAAACCAAAAGTATAATTTGTTCCTTCAGCTGCAGAAATCGATCCACTCTCCTGACCGAATATAGCCTTTCGCAAAACTTCATCATTTAAAGGAGGCAGACATAAATTTCTAGATAAGTTCAACTTTTTCCATGTGTCCCCATTCTTAGAAAGGGTCTTTTGGCAGACTGTTAAAACCGGATTTTCTTGACAGAAGGATCTTGAAAGAGGAAATTCATTTACAACACCTGCAAGCATATTCTCTTCCTTTGCATCAGGAAGTGTTTTTCCATCCTCCTGTGCATCAACTAACCTTTTCTCTGCCAGCGTATCAACCAAGAACTTACACCAAATTTTCTCTGAGCGTTTTACTGGCACAATTACACCATCATCACTCTCCACTTTTTGTTTACCGTAAATATATTGAAAAATATGATCACCATGGCCTATAAGGCCTGATAATGACACACAGAAAACTTCTGACAAAGATAAGCCTGCAATGCTATGCCCATGTTGAACACCTTTATCCAAATTGCCAAAACCATCAATCTCATAGTCATTTCCTTTTCTAGATACAAGTGCTGATGTCATGGGAATATGCTGGATCAGCTGTAATGATTTTCCAGCAGAAACAATAGACTTAGCTATGTCCTTAATAAACAGTGGACACGACTGAAGGTCTTTATTGTTCCATTCCTTTCCTTTCATAAAACTAGACGTTGAGATGGATTCCCTTTGAGCCACTCCCTTTTTATCATTTGCTACTGATATGCGGTCACTGTCACAAGATGAGGCAGAGGCCCCAACATCTAACATTTGACACTGTACTTGCCTCAATAGATAGCTTTTCTCCCAAAAGTCAGCCTCATCAACAGATATTGCTCTATTAGCATAAAAGAACATCTGAAAAGACAGGAGCCACCAGAAAAGTGTTCACCAAGGATACATGTACGACCGCCCATTTAACATAGAAAAAAATTGCATGTATACTGCCTATACAAATTTTAAGATAAATTATAATCACAAGAGTACATAAATTAGAATTATATGGCGTGCAAACTTTCAAACAATAAAAGATGGATTGGATGCATCACCAGCACTTGCAGGATGAAAAAAAAATGTAGAAGAATTTATAACAAATAAATAAACTGCTGCAAACTTTTGGGACATGGAAAACCAAATTTCCAATCACATTTACCTCCTCATATGGATCATCTAGTGCTCCTTCAAAAAGCCAAGAATCAAGACCCTCAATATATGGCAATATACTTCCAATAAATAAATGAAGTAGCATCTTGTAGTCTTCCTCCTGAAATTGGCATAAGTTCCAAATTTGGATTACATAAACCAGCTCAACCATGAGTATAAACTAGAAACCATAAGGTTGTAGAAAAAAAGGTGTAACAACCTCACCACCTCGCACAAGACACACTTCATCCAGCTTCTTGTAAAGATGGTCAAGGACATGCACAGCCAAGTCAGCAGCAGGAAGAGAAGAATTAGACTCAAAATACACTTGGGGGATGGCACCATGCACTATTTGCAACAAATACTCAGCACCTGAGCAAAGACTAATATCAATAAATTGTCATCAGCGATATCCATTGCATGAGGATGTAGAATCCAAAAGGGGAATTGACATGTAGGGCTGACTCAGTAACCTCGAAGGTAAACAAAAAAATGGAGAATAATAAAATATTGATAATTCTGATAAGCTTTTGAGTGGTGATTGTCTCCAACAGCATGGGACAAACTACAGCCACTGACATCCCAAATTTTGAGAAGGTAAAGCTAACAGCGTACGAACCTAGATAAAGAATTGGCCAACCCCAATAACGTAGGAGTTGTTCCAATGGCATCATTGCTTATCTTCATTTCCTCCTTTAAAGAAATATCGCGCAACCTCTGCCCAAGCACAATTTAACATACACTTATAAATGAGCGTTGAACATGACGACTAGAAAATAGCAAATTTCATCCAGTAAATTGAATCCAAAACGTACCGTAAGCCATGAAGAAACAGAACACGCAAAAGCCCTCAAAGTAGGCGGTGGTAATTTAGCAGATTTCTCAATTTTATTGACTAAAACTTCCACCAGTTGTAAGCATGTGGCAGCATACATAAATTGATGGACAATGGCGTGAAGACTTGTATGAGAGAGGTGATTCACGTGTAACCCACTTTTGACTTGAAAAGACTTTCCATTTTGGTCCCAATAAAATAGTGAGCTAGAAAATCCTTGCAACATTTGCAACACACTCCGAACCTTGGAAGGAAAAATATATAAATTAGGTTCCAAGCCTACCAAAAAGAAGGTACAACTACATTTGATTTAAAAAGCTAAAGACTTACCAAGTCAAGTTCATTCGTCCTCAAGGAAGAAACTGGTGTTGCAAAATGTATGCCATCGGAGAAGTCACTGTAAAGCCTATTGATCAAACCTTGAGAAACTTCTGCATTTCCTGCATCTGCCGAATCAAGGATGATATGAATTCCACGAAAACATGAAAATCACGACGGGCATAAATTTAGAAACTTGTAATGAAGAAACAGCAAAAGATTATCTCATACCATAGCAAAGAGGCTTCCCCATCGGTGAATTTGGGCCTTCCCCTGCCGAATTCTGGGTTTGAGTTTGGCCTTGTATAATTTGAATTGATTGATCGCGAGAACCAAACCTAACCTACCAACACCTCAACGACGATGGCAATTTGCTAATCACTGCAAAACCCTAACCCAGTTGTAAACTAAACTATGCACAATATATATAGATATGATACGACGTCGTAGATGGTGTAGAGTTCCTGCTAGCATTAGTCACTGGATCGGTTGATTGGAGCTGTACTATCAGTGTTGCTCTCGCAGTAGCATTTCCTTTACCCAAAGCCCAGTCCCCAGTGAGAATAAATTGAACCAGTATTTTAATTTCAAAAATAACAGAAATACAACAAATTTAAAAAGGAAGCGCGTAATGCATATTATATACACGTTAACACGTGCAACCCCCCCC